AAATATTTCTAAATAGGGCCAGGCTAATGCAAATTCTGTAGATTTGGTCGTAATCTCGAGATTCATAATCTTGTGTGTGATAAATATGAAAAAAGTTGAGGCTACCGCGCAAAACGAGAACGGTCAGAGTTGCGGAAAATTACAAAAAAATTGGAGGATATGCTCATAATTTTAAGATAAGCACTTCGACGCTAGGACTGGGTTTATATCTTAGCGTGAGGTTTTGAAGAAATACATCTTTGTGTCACCGAGTCCGTGAATTCAAAAGTAGTCGTGATCCTTTCTGCTATTTTGTATTCAAATTCCTGGACCTGGAATTAAAACCGTACCTGAATAGAACTTGTACGAAGGGTTTAGTCGTGATTTGGTGTTGCTTTTTGGTTTGTTGTTTGGCGGGCTTCTGTAGTTTGTTCTACTGTCGTGTATAGCATGCTGACTTCTTCAGTATTATAAGCGAACCGAAGACAATAATTGCCCATGGTCCAAGTATCTGGTTGTATGGGGGACAATAAACAAGCTGATACTCAACTCGTCTCCAAAAACACACCTGAACACACAGTGGACTTACAGGTCGCGCCGTGTGATGGTTCGGAGACTGATTCGGACTGCGAACATAAATTTGTTTTCCCTCTGCGACACGAGCTCCCTCCGCATGACTACCTTCGGTTTATTCTGACAGTTTGGTATTCCCCGGAGACTAGCAGTTCTATCGCAGGTAAATTTTCTTTTCTTTTGTGCTATCTTGCAGACATGATGACGCGGGTATACAACGAAGCTCAACTCAAAGTTCTCCTCACCAGTCCCATGGATGTGGTTCTCATGAAGTCCCGCAAATTCTTTCTGGAACTTAATATATGAGCTGACAATTCAGCTTAAAATGAACACTGGCTGCTTCAGCCAATGTATAAACTGAGGTTGGACAGCGTCGTCCCTTGTTGCCTCACTATCAACCGCCAAATACTCGTATATGGTTGAATACCTCGCTGTACATTTACACATTTGCATGATTAATTTCTTCTTTCAAAGGTCCAACCAGTAACATGCTACTTCAGTCACCCGTCTTTAGTTAGCGCCCAGTAATGCATGTGCTACTCTAGAGATTTCTTGTTACTCCTTTATACTTCATACCTAATGCGTATTTACTG